CTTTCTGAACCTCTTTTTATCCCCTTTCTCCCCCCTCACGATTTGGGATCTCTTCTGATTTGGCTAAAGCATATTTTCCTGGGGTTGTTGCCACCCTTTTAGTATTTTACTTGTTCCTTCATATACACTTATCTGGACAAAATGACAAGGCAGAAAAATTCACCACAAAAAAAAGAACAAGAGGCAGTACCAAAGGCTAGGGACCTAATCAATACAGACATTGGTAATATGTCAGATCTAGAGTTCAGAATGACGATTCTCAAGGTTCTAGCCGGGCTCGAAAAAGGCATGGAAGATATTAGAGAAACCCTCTCGGGAGATATAAAAGCCCTTTCTGGAGAAATAAAAGAACTAAAATCTAACCAAGTTGAAATCAAAAAAGCTATTAATGAGGTGCAATCAAAAACGGAGACTCTGACTGCTAGGATAAATGAGGCAGAAGAAAGAATTAGCGATATAGAAGACCAAATGACAGAGAATAAAGAAGCTGAGCAAAAGAGGGACAAACAGCTACTGGACCACAAGGGGAGAATTTGAGAGATAAGTGACACCATAAGACGAAACAACATTAGAATAATTGGGATTCCAGAAGAAGAGGAAACAGGGGAGCAGAAGGTATATTGGAGAGAATTATTGGAGAGAATTTCCCCAATATGGCAAAGGGAACAAGCATCAAAATCCAGGAGGTTCAGAGAACCCCCCTCAAAATCAATAAGAATAGGTCCACACCCCATCACCTAATAGTAAAATTTACAAGTCTTAGTGACAAAGAGAAGATCCTGAAGCAGCCCGGGAAAAGAAGTCTGTAACGTACAATGGTAAAAATATTAGATTGGCAGCAGACTTATCCACAGAGACCTGGCAGGCCAGAAAGAGCTGGCATGATATATTCAGAGCACTAAACGAGAAAAACATGCAGCCAAGAATACTATATCCAGCTAGGCTATCATTGAAAATAGAAGGAGAGATTAAAAGCTTCCAGGACAAACAAAAACTGAAAGAATTTGCAAATACCAAACCAGCTCTACAGGAAATATTGAAAGGGGTCCTCTAAGCAAAGAGAGACCCTAAAAGTAGTAGATCAGAAAGGAACAGAGACAATATACAGTAACGGTCACCTTACAGGCAATACAATGGCACTAAATTCATATCTCTCAATACTTACCCTGAATGTTAATGGGCTAAATGCCCCAATCAAAAGACACAGGGTATCAGAATGGATAAAAATAAACTTTACTGCATCCATTTTCAACATCCTACTTCTCTAAATATTTGAAGGCTGGAAATTTTTTATAGTTCTTTTTTTCTCTATAAGTCTGTTCTAATAGAGATATTAAAGGATTCGAGAAATAGTAAAATGCACATTAAAGTTTTGAAGAAATAAACCACAGAAACTGATATGTGTACCTTAGTGGCATTAGGGGGAGGCTGTCTCCATACAGTTGGGATGGGGAAGGGATAGGAAGTTGAATGCCTGAAGGCAGTTGGTCAGTCCACAACCATTTTTAGCTCCTCAGCCAATAGGATTTCTCCATTGCCTTAGTATTTTATCTATGGACACTAGTTCATATCTAGAGGGAAGGGGAAAGAAATGATTATTCCACAGTAAATATGAGAGAGGCAAGAATAAGACTAAAAATAAGATTTTTTAAATCCATTCTATCCTCCCACTGCTACCTCAAGCTGCACTTTGCCCTATTGGCTTTCGCCATCTAGCTCCATAACACAAACCAGTTTAAGACAGCCTTAAGTCTCATTGGCTTTTTTTCTTGCTTCTTTTTGTTAGTGTAAGGGCCTGCCCCTCCCAGAGGAACTGGCTTGTGGACCCCGGAAGTAGGGGCGGGGCAGGCCGGGTGGAGACGTCCAATCAGTGTGGCGTGGGTATATCCACTGGGTGAATTAGGATTCAGTTGGCTACCTGTGTAGGGGCAGGGCTCAATCACCCCCATAAAGGTTGGTCTGCAAGGCTGGCGAAGAAGAGAAGAAGGAGAGCTGTCAGAAGAAGAAGGAGAGAAGGAGAGCTGTCAGAAGAAGAAGAAGAGAAGAAGGAGAGCTGTCAGAAGAAGAAGAAGAAGAAGCAGGAGAAGAGTCGGGGGAGCAGCAGCAGCAGAATAGTCAGGAGCAGCAGAAGAGTCGGCGGGAGCAGCAGAGAGAAGAGTCGGCGGGAGAAAAAGAAGAGCTGTAACAGCTCTTGTAAGAGCTATAAGTGCCGCCGGCAGCCCCGCGCCACCGGTGGCCCCTAGCCGCCAGCAGTCCCGACTCCAGTGGTCCCAGCATGCCAGCGGACCCGAGCCGCCAGCGGTCCCCAGCCGCCAGCGGTCCCCAGCCTCCGGCGCCCCGATGCCAGCAGACCCGCCCACACCGCGGTTTCGGCAGCGGCGCCACGGGGAGCAGCAGAGCCACCAGCAGCTGAGCCGCCTGCAGACCCAGCCGCCAGCAGTCCCGAGCCACCGGCGCCCCGACGCCAGCAGCCCTGCCCACACCGCGGCTTCAGCAGGGGCGCCGCAGGCAGCAGCGGAGCCACCAGCAGCCAAGACGCCTGCGGCCCTGAGCCATCAGCAGTCCCGACGCCGGCGGTCCCAAGCTGCCAGCAGTCCAGATGCCTGGGGTCCAGATGCCTGCGGTCCCGACGCCAGCGGCCCCGAGATGCCAGCGGTCCCACGCCGCCAGCGGTCCCGTGCCGCCAGCGGTCCCGCACCACCAGTGCCCCGACGCCTGCGGCCCTGAGATGCCTGCGGCACCGAGACGCCAGTGGCCCCGATGCTAGCGGCCCTGCCCACACACTGCGACCCTCAGCAGTGGCGCCGGGGGAACGGCTTAGACGTCAGCAACCTCGCCGGGAACCCTGAGCCACTGCCTCGCTGGAGCTGTGTCATTCCAGGGAGCGGCTTCGTCTGGGAAGAGGCCTGCTTGGTGAATGGCCCTGCGGAAGCAGCATCGTCAGGGAAGAGGCTTCCTCCAGAGCGGCCTCACCGGAGCAGCCTTGTGTGGAGAGCAGCCTCGCCAGAGCAGCCTTGTCAGAGTGGCGTCATGGGGAGCAGAATCTGTGTCATCGGCGTTGTCCTCCCTGTCATTGTCGCTGTCGTCATCGCCTCTTCTTGGGAGTGGCCCTGCCTGGGGAGCGACCTCACCAGCAGCGGCCTTCTTGGGAGTGGCCTCTTCTTGGGAGCGGCTCCAACCGGGGAGCGGCCTCATCTGCGGAGCAGCCTCGTCCGGATCGGCCTTCTTGGGAGTGACCTTGTCGGAATCATCATCGTCATCTTTTTGTAAGAGACGGCCCTGACCGGTCAGTTTGATTTTTGATGCTTGGCGTGAAATAAAGCTTTGTTTGATTTTCGCTGTATATCAGTCTCGTTCCTTTGATCACGGACCCTAACAGTTAGGTTTCTGGAATTCCTGTTTTTCTCTTAATTCTAAAGTTTTTGAGACTGATACTGAGAGATGGAGCCAGCAATCCACGCTGATTTGCCAAGAACAACTACTTCATAATTCGTTTATTATGTTTAACCATCTTGCTTTGCAATTAAAATTTTCATACTGACATTCTTTTAAATTTTCTATCAGATTGAGTACCCTTTCCCATTTCTGTTTTTGTTTATATTTCCTTTCTTATGAGTATATTTGGTAGACAGAAACTAGTTTTACACAATATTAATTGGTGTTAAATCTGTAGAAGGAAGTATTAGATTATATTTGGAATGCTTGTATGAACAAATTTTTACAAGTTTTTTTTTTTTTTTTTTACTGTACTACTCTTAACAGCCTTTTATTTGCCTAAATGCATGGTAAATCCTCAAAAGGAGACAAAATAATATTCAGTGTTTCCCAATATTATTTGAATACAAGGAACATCTTTTAATATTTCATGGGACTAATATTCCATGAAACATGCTTTGGAAAATCTGGTCTTAGCTCCTGGTTATTTTGAAAAATTAACTCTTGAATTTGGCTGGGTTTTTTTTTTTTTTTTAGATTTTATTTATTTGATAGAGAGAGACACAGCGAGAGAGGGAACACAAGCAGGGGGAGTGGGAGAGGGAGAAGCAGGCTTCCTGTCAAGCAGGAAGACCAATGTGGGGCTTGGTCCCGGGACCCAGGTATCATGACTTGAGCTGAAAGCAGATGCTTAACGACTGAGCCACCCAGGTGCTCCTTGGCTGTTTTTTTCTTAATTCAGTATTTCTATTTTTATCTTTTTTTCTTTTATTATTTTTATCATAATTCTTTTAGTTGGCACCCCAGAGTATGATTTTTTAAAAATTTATTACTATTTTTTAAAAGATTTATTTATTTGATAGACAGAGACCACAAGTAGGCAGAGAGAGAGGAGGACAGGCTCTCTGCTGAGCAGAGAGCCTGACACAGGGCTCGATCTTAGGACCCTGAGATCATGACCTGAGCCGAAGGTAGAGGCTTTAAACCCACTGAGCCACCCAGGCGCCCCAAAAAATTTATTACTATTTTTTAATTGTAGTATAGTTGACATACAATATTACATTAGTTTTCAGTTGTACAGCATAATGATTTGACAAGCCTTTACATTACTATATACTCAACACAGGTGTAGCTACTGATAGAATATGTTTGAAATTCATTAATATGGCATACATGGGTCCTTAGGATATGCCAGCAGTTATACCTAATACCATCTCCAAATTAACTGACTTGTGTACACCTTACACACTTATAAGAATCATACTTTTGGGTCTGAATGCCTCTGCCTATACTCTTTCTGTCCATGGTCTTCTCACATTTGCCTTCTTCCTTCACTTGTCTGCTTAATAAACTCCTTTCCACTTTAAAGTTTCACTCATATTTTATGAAGCTTTCCTGACTCTTTGACATCTGTTATATCCTTTTATACTTTGTGGGGGTTTTTGCCAAAATTCTCAATCTTGTCTTTCATCTCCTTGAACATAGTAAATATCACTATTTTAAGGCATGTATCTGATGTAACTTCACTATATGTAACATCCCCTGTGAGCCTGTTTCTATTGCCTATTTTCTCATAGTTCTCTTTCAAGTAATTTTGTCTCTTGGTATGTCTGATTATTTTTGGTTGTGTGTTGGAATTTGTATTTGAAAATTGTAGAAATAATTTGAGGCCTAGAATAGTGTTCTGTTCCTCTAAGAAGTCTTAATTTTACAGGACAATTAAATCCCCAAAGCCCTAAGGGTTGCCCCATAAAATACAGAACCTTTTGTTACAACATTTGGGTTTTAGGTAAACAATGAAATTAGAGGAAGTACCTCTCAAATATTGCATGGAAAATCCTTATACTAAAAAAAATGTTATCTGAAACTCAGATTCAACTGGGTTTTATTTTTATTTGCTAAATCTGGCAATCTAAGCCCTAAAGCAGCTGTTGTATATAATAAATGAACTACAACTAGAATGGTACTAGTTATGTGAGAATTGAAAAAACAGTCACTCAAATAATTTTCTTTGTAGTTCATATGAGGAAACCTGATTGAGAAAGGTTACTCTAGGGAGTGCTTCTGCAAGGTGCTTGGGAGCACTAGTAATACAGTATTACCTAAAGACAATTTCAAGGGTTGAAATGCTTTGAAGCTAGGCTGTAGTCCCTGTGAGAGCTGTTCTACTTTTGTCAGAAGCTGTGTTAAGCCTCTCATCTCCTTCTGTATTGGCAGATATCCTTAGGGAAAAGGTGGCCTAAATGCTGGTCTCATATCTCTGAATTTCTGTGTAGATTTTGACCTTAGAACTTTTCACTATACTGATAGCTCTCTGATGCATTCAAGCAGATTTTAAAAATTGTCCAGCTTTTCTAGTTGCCTCAGCAGGAGGTTTGGCCTAAATTACATAGTCTGCCATTGCTGGAATCAATGTATAATTTTAAAACAGCAGAAGAAAACTCATGGGAAGATCCATAGTTGTACTCTAGGTCAGGATCTGTTTGGCACAAAATGCTCTCCTTAGGATATAAAGGAAGCATATATCTCATACATAATTCCAGCCTGTATACTTAAAATTCCAGCCTGTAATACACATGTTCTAAAGCAGAATATACAATTAATGTACCTAAGGGATTTTTGTCTACTCGGGAGAACAGCAAGCTTGAGTTATAACCAATCAGGAAACACTATTAACCACGTATATCTTAGTGGTTTGGAAAAAATGATCTGAGTAATTACTCAGATGGAGTAGAATAGGAAATGAGATGATTTTTTTTAAGATTTTGTTTATTTGACAGAGAGCAAGATGGTGAGTACAAGCAGGGGGAGGGGCAGAGGGAGAGGGAGAGGGAGAAGCAGGCTCCCGGCTGAACAGGGAGCCCAATGCAGAACTCGATCCCAGGACCCCAGGATCATGACTTGAGCTGAAAGCAGTCACTTAACCAACTGAGCCAGCCAGGCACCCAGAAATGAGATGATTTTTAAAATGGCATTTAAAATATAAGCCTTGTTGCTGTGTTTATAAATGTTTTCTGTCTTGTCTAAGGCTTAGGGTGGCTCAGTCAGTTAGGCATCTCTTGGTTTCAGCTCAGGTCATGATCTCAGGGTTGTGAGATGGAGCCCATGTCAGATTCTGTGCTACCAGGGAGTCTGTTCGAGATTCTCTCCCTCTCCCTCTGGCCACCTCCCTCCCCACCCCATGTGTTCTGTCTCTAAAATAAATACATATTTTTAAAAAGTATAAAATTAGGGACACCTGGGTTGCTCAGTTAAGTGTCTGCCTTCAGCTCAGGTCATGATCCCATCCTGCTTCGGGCTCCTTGCTCAGTGGAGAGTTAGCCACACCCCCTGCTTGTGCTCTCTGACAAAAAAAATCTAATAAAATCTTAAAATTAAAAAAAAGTATAAAAGTAACTGTAATGTACAGAAATGAATTGGTTGTCTCCTTGTGTTATTCTATATGTCTGGCACTTAATGGTATTGTGAACCATCTAAGAAACTCACCACCACCCACCTTCCAATTTACATTAATGCATGTCAGAATCTGTCTCCAAGTTGTTTTTTAACAAAGTTTACATTTACTCTCTTATAGTTCTTTAATATTGTCCTTGGATTCGCACAGTTCATTTCCAGACACAGTGTTTCAGTAGAACCAAATTATTTTTCTTCAAGTGTTTTTTTCACCAGAGAGCCAATTTACTGTCTCCTTTGATGAACAAATATTTAAGTGGTTATAAAAAAAGCTATTAAACTTAATTTTTTCATTAGCTTTAATATAAAATCATTCATTCTAAGCATGTCTTAAGTTTGTGTTTCTAAAAAAAATTTTTTTTAGCGTTACGAAGTTGCAACTGCCCTAGAAAATCGAAGCCACAAGATTCGGTACTCAGATTCAGTGGAAAATGGATCAATTATCTTTTCTCTTTCTGGTATGGTGTTTTTGTTAACTATCTTGATTTAAGCCTCTTATAAAATACGTGAGTATAAATTCTAATAGTTGTAGTTCAATAACCAGGTAGTAAGTTTAAGGTATTATATTTTGGGAGAAGTAAATGTATAATACTCCATTACTACTGCAAAAGTAGTCCATGTGGCCAACCACAACATACATTCCTGTTTAGATTATAATTGGGGGCACCTGGGTGGCTCAGTCAGTTAAGCATCCAACTCTTGCTTTTGCTTCAGGTCATGATCTCAGGGTTGTGAGATCAAGCACTGTCTTGGGCTCTGTGCTAGGCATGGAGCCTGCTTAAGACTCCCTCTCTCTCTCTCCCCCTCCCGTTCCCTCTTTAAACAAATGGAAAACTAAAGCTGAACCAGTGGAATCTGGCAGAGGACAGCAAAAACAACATACTTTGGAACTAAGATGCAAGTAGAACAAAGCCATCTCTCCAACAGTCAGTACTTAAAGTGTTACCAGTATTAACAATGAAGCCAACATCACAACATTGGTCGAAAGCTATATATAAAAATAATATAGGAGAACGTTTTTTCAGGATTTTGTACAAGAGTTTGCTGAATATAATAGAAACAAATACAAAAAAAAATAGAGACAAATAGAAATTCCTCAAATCATAAAATCGTAAAATACAGGGCCATGGGTAAAATACAGGAAGGAATTAGATTAGGATATGAGAAGGCTAGGGTGATGGGAAGGGAGCAGCACAGAGCACAGGTTTGTGGTAGGGAAATGACTAAAGTGATAAAAGAAGTGGAAATAAAGTATTTTACCAGGAGGGTTGCAGATAGAATGGTAACTTTAGCAGAAACTTTGGAAGACAGGCAGATTTCAAAATCTTCTAGAAATAAAACTATAGGCTTAAAGTGATCCAACTTCAAACTCATCCTTCCTGGTTGAATAGAGAGCCCTCTAGGGAGAAGTGAAATGTTTTTGAATAACTCCTGTGTCCCTTGTCCACTTATATATAGTATCTTATTTAATCTTCTCAATAAACCTATGAAAGAATTATTATTACATTCTTATAGATGGGAGAACTTAGGTTCAGGAAGGTTTATATAAACTGCCCAGGTTCATTCAATTAGCATATAATAATATAATCACTTTACTCAGGTTGCCTTCTCCTTTAAAGAGCTATAATTAGATCAAATTTTCCTTCAGGACTTTTCTTACAGGCCTGATACTATTTCAGAAATCCTAGATTATGGGATGCCTGGGTTGCTCAGTTGGTTAAGCTTGGTTAAACATCTGCTTTTGGCTCGGGTCAGGATCCCAGGGTCCTGGGATTGAGTCTCGAATCGGGTTCCTTGGCTCAGCAGAGAGTCTGCTGCTCCCTGCCTTTCCACCTGCTTATACTCTCTCTGACAGATAAATCTTAAAAAAAAATCCGAGATTATCTGCTTACAGAGTGTTTTAATTTAATAATAATGTTCTCTACAAAGGTTTCTCTAAGAAATAGTTGAAGGTTTAAGATTTTGATTTCCAGTTTTTAAAAAAGTCATTATAACATACACACAAAAAAAAACTTTTAACAAAATTAGGCATTACTTTCATTGTTAAGTGCCTTAATTTGAAAATTGTTACTGACCAAAGTTGTTTCCTCTAGCATGTCATACTTTTATATAAAGCATTTCAAAGAATTACCTAAATCATTTTGTAGTATAAGAATTTTGTTATAACAAATTCTGTTCCTTACATTTGGGTCCTGACATTTAGAGCTGTATTATAGCCACTTTTGTTGATTCTACAGAGTTTACAAAAAAATTTGCTTATTACAACAAAGTGATGTTTTATATTATGCTCACCTTCCCTAGGGCTTGCATTTTTATTGATGGATGCTAAAGAATGCTTTATATCAGCTGAAGAAATATTTCTAGCCAAAATTGAGAAGTTTATTAATATTCACCAAAAGAGTTTTTTGGTTCTGTCTGCTGCCCTCCATGGGCCTGAGGAATGGAAACTGATGTTCAGGATTCAGCAGAGGTACGGAAGAATAGTACTATAGACTTTTCTTAAATCACATGTATTTACTTTAGTTCTTAATCCTTTTCAAGTAGGTGAGTTGTTTTGCTAAAAGATAGACACTATAATGTTAACTTGTCATATTTAATAAATTCAGGTTTAATGTCTATTCCAGGAATCAGGGTGATAAGTTTGAGTTCATGCTGATTTCTGAGATTTTCCTACAACACCAAAACAAAAGTGAACACTATTTAGTCTCTTAAATTCTGGGTATGAAGCCGTATCATATCCTCTGTGGAATAGGGCAGGGCATGACAGACAGTAAGGTTTCTGTCTCCTTTCTGCTTAACAGATGTCTGTGTAAGTTATATGATCTATTTAATTTATGAATTATTTTTCAGATTCCTGGGTAGTAACTTACGGATACTTCCAGTACACAACACAGTAAATGCTATTAATCTTATGTGCACTATGGCTAAGGTGAGTCACTAGGAAAATGATGCAAATATAGCACTCATAGATTTTAGGGTTTCTGACTTCAAAATGCACACCCTCTTGAGCAGAATTATTATTCTGCTTCTTTTCCCCTCAGAGAAGTTGCTCTTTCAGCATGCAGTGCAGCTCTTTGAAGCATGAACTCAGCCTTTCTTCTCAATTCACTTCCAGTAGCCACTCCAAGAATGACTAACATTAGGCCAAAAGAACATTTGGCATATATACACTGCATTGGCCCTACTGGTTTCTTAAATCTTCCTTCAAATTCTAAAATATAATTATTGATCAGGTTGTAGTCAAGAACTTTCAAAGTGCAACATACTATTTTATAGAATGATCTTCACAAGTTGTCCACTTTCTTTCCATGCTTGTCCTCCCCTGTGAAGTGTGCCCTAGGCAGAGTTAGGTGATTTTTACTCTTATACTTGGAACAGATCTCCATATTAAAGCAGTTCTTAAAGTATTCTACTTTTGGCTTGTTTGAAATTCCTTAAAGACAAAGACCAAGCATTTTTCTATTACTCATAATTAACTCACACATAGTATTTAGCACAAAGAAGATGATTAGATACTTGTTGAGTAAGTGAAAGTTTTTTATATGACCCTTATTATAAAATGATCCTAATATAAAAAGTACTTATTTCTGTAAATAATGTTGCATGTTTATAACTTCTTACAGAATGCCTCCAAACCATACACAGATAGCATTTGCTATAGAATGATAACAACTGAGGCTTACATCATTGAGCAAAGTCCTGTTTGGAAAACACTTCAGAAGTTAAAACTGAGTAGTGATTCATGTAACCCAAATTAGAATAGCAATTACAAAAGTTCTTTTGGAAGAATGTTAAAATAATTAGACCAGTTAAATTAAAATGTTCAAATATATATTTAAAGATTTTTTTAATTTGAAAGAATAAAATATATATATGATTAAAAATGATTTTCAGTTTTGCTGAGTAATTCCTTTAATAATGTTTAGAAAAAATTGGCACATACACATATTATAAAACTCAGATGCAGTTTCTTGGTGATACAAGTTAAGTTGGAAGGAAAATATTTACTACAAAATAAAAACACAGCATTTTCTAACTAGCCTCTTAGACTAAAGGAAAAGTCATGTACACTTTTTAACTTTTCCACAAGGGCTGCCAGTATTTCTAAAATTAATGTTTGCAGATGTGTTCGTATTATAACTGCTGCTAGACAGGTGGTGATGGGACTGTGCCCCATAAGACTTCTGAGGTAGGGAAAAAAGGGGAAATTAAGTTAACCAGCTGGCCTAATTGAAAACCTCTCTGTACACTTTTACAATGGTATGATATTCCTATTTGACACCAGGAATTCTGAAGTATAAGAAAGCATCTAATTGGAACATAAAGTGTAAAATGTATTTATAAACTCACTACAACTATATGAAGGAAGGCAATACAACTATATTTTATGAGATTATAGTAGAATATTATCAGTTTGTATTAGATTTTCAACTAAGTAGGATTCAGAATACATACATGGGCATTATTTACCATGTAAATTATCTTTTTAAAACCAAAGACTACTACTGATCCATAATGTGTCATCACAGAAACCAGTAAATGAGAAAAGCTACATTTATTTTTCTAGCAGTACTTTACAGAAAAGTCTTTATAAAGGTATTAAATAATCATAATGGAAAATAAAGTATTTTACTAGTTTTTATTTAGGAAATGGAGGTTTCACTTTATCCCAATATTTTCTTCAGGGGTAGACTTTGTTTTTATTTCAATGAGTTCTTCTACTCGAGCCAGAACACTTTCAATCAAATCAAATGTGAAAAGAGCTGAATGTAGGACCTGCAGTGCCAAGGGAAATTAGTATTATATTAATGTTGCTGTTAGAGCAAAAAAAAAAACAAAAGTCTTCAGCTGGATATAGCTTAGGAAAATTTCAGATCTACCTTAAGCTGCATTTCAGGAGGCATATTAGGGATCTCTTCTCCACCTACAGTTACAGAACAAAGATCTTTAGACTTTTGGACTTCTGTAAGAGAAGAAAAAGAAATTCAGGTGTCACATTTAACCATTAAAAACAACTCCCAGATTTCAATAATGAATTTATAAGCTACTTTCATTATTATACCCATTACAGTAAAAAAAAAAAAAATTTCTAGTAATGCCTTTAAGAAATACCCCCTAGCTATACAGAAAAGAGCAAAAGATTATTATAGAATTGTTTGCTGATTTAAAAAAGTAATTCTGGATCTAAGATTCTTTTTCATAATTTGCACCGATTTACTTGAGGGTGAGGATGGAGAGAGCCATACCCAAGTTAGTGTAATATCCAAACAGAAATACTTGTAGTATAATTATATTCTTAATCAGAATTTGATTTTAATCTGGTTTTAAACCAGAATATGCTTCAATTTGGTTTAAATCTTTGTTAACCTAATTTCAGTGTTAACTGGCTTACAGATCTGCTAAAAATAATTTTAATTATAAATAAAATAACTTAGCTGTCATGTTTCCTTGTTCATTAGAAAATAAAGAAGTATGAGATGAAAAAGTTCTTTATTTTGAATATAACTGACAGTTCTAAAAGTTGACTAATTTCTAGACCTAACCAAAAATAAAATTGCACATTACCAACCTTGGCTATTTTCTTGGCTGTTTTTAATTTCTGCTTCATAATGTGCTTTTGACATATTAAGTCCTGTATGGAGTGGCTTTAAGAAATTATTCTCAATCTTTCCAAGTTCTGTCCATAATCCAGTCTATTCAGAAGAATTAATGAAAGAATTAGTTTTTTGGCTCAACATTTCTTGATTGCCTACTATTATTAAACCCATGTTAAGAGTTAGAGAAACAAAATCTGATCTTGCCTTTCAAGATAGTTTCCTGTTTAATATATTCATTACATCTGGTTATTTTATGTGAATACCAATAAAAACAAAAATGTACTTTGGACAGTGTACTCATTAATACACCATTTGGACAGCTCCTAATTTTGAGATCTGTAACTTACAAGTTTCATTCATGAGAAAATTATTTGAGAATAATCCATATGATGAGACATTTCTTTTCCTGTAAAAACCGTCCCTATTTATGACTACATTATATATTCCTTCAACTCATGACCTTTCAATTGATATCCTTGTCATAGATCTAGTTTTAGAGGATTCCTTTCCTTCCCTCTTGATGGAAACATTTTTTCTTTTTCTTTTTTTTTTTTTTTAAGATTTTATTTATTTATTTGACAGAGAAAGCACAAGTAGGGGGAGCAGCAGACAGAGGAGGGAGAAGCAGGCTTCTCCCTGAGCAAGGAGTCCAATGCAGGGCTTGATCCCAGGATCCTGGGATCATGACCTGAGCCAAAGACAGCTGCTTAACTGACTGAGCCACCCCAGCGCCCCCCCACCTTTTTTTAAAAGATATTATTTATTTGAGAGAGAGAGAAAGCAAGAGAGATTACAGAGGGAGAAGGAGAATCAGACTCCCTGCTGAACAGGGAGCTCAATGTGGGTCTTGATCCCAGGACCCTGACATCACGACCTGAGCCAAAGGCAGACGCTTAACTGATTGAGCTACCCAGGCGCCCTGATGGAAATATTTCTAACACAAATTTGTTATGAACTTTCTGGTGATCAATGTAGACAGAGATCTTACCTAAAACAGCTTAGGGTTATTCTGTCATCCATATTTTAAGCTTTTATTCCAAGAGTATTTCCTCCTATATACTTAAAGGAAGAGTGTCATAAAGTCTTAATTTTATTAGGAAGAAAGGAAAATGGGAGGGGAGGCGCTGGAGGTAGGGGAGAGGGAAAGAAGGAGAGAGAATTGGGGATGAAGAGAGAGAAGGAGGAGACAGAAGAGGAAAGAGAAAATTCAGTAGTATTATTAAGTTACCAGGTACTCTTTACAAAGGAAAATATCTTAGGTAATAAAAGGGAAAATTAGGAACCCAATTATCCTTAACTAGAAGTGGACCACTTGAAAACCTATTTTGTAATCAACTTTTAATTATTCAGTTTTAAATAGTTAATATTTTTTTACCTTGTATACAAACATCTCATAAAATAGATTTTATTCATAATTATATAGAGGTTCTCAAACTTCACTGTGTTAGTTAAAAATGTAGATTTCTGTGCTTTACTTGGAGACTGAGTAGATTTAGGGTTAAACCCAGAAATTTGCATTTATATGCATAAAAGAACAAATACCCAGGTGATTCTCATTAGGAATGTATGTGAAGTTACAAAGATCTAAAATGGCCACATTCAATGCCAATGAGAAACTGAATTTTTTTTCACGATATGAATTTATCTATTTATTTAATTAACATATAATGTATTTTTTGCTTCAGGGGTACAAGTCTGGAATCAGTCTTACACAATTCATAGCACTCACCATAGCAAATACCCCTCTGTAATGTCCATAACCCAGCCACCCTCTCCCTGCCCTCCACCCCCCAACAACCCTCAGTTTGTTTCCTGAGATTAAGAGTCTCTAATGGTTTATCTCCCTCCCCAGTCCCATCTTGGAGAAACTGAATTTTTAATTAAAAAAAAATTTTTTTTTTTTTAAGATTTTTATTTATTTATTTGACAGACAGAGATCACAGGTAGGCAGAGAGAGGAAGGGAAGCAGGCTCCCTGCTGAGCAGAGAGCCCGATGCGGGGCTCGATCCCAGGACCCTGGGATCATGACCTGAGCCGAAGGCAGAGGCTTTAACCCGCTGAGCCACCCAGGTGCCCCAATTAAAAAAATTTTTAATTCACATTTTAAATATTCAGATATGGCTACTAAATAAGTATTTTATTTATTTGAGAAAGAGAGAGCAAGCATGAGTGGGGAAGGGCGAATCAGCAGGCAGAGGGAGAAGCAGACTGCCCCCTGAGCAGCAGGGAGCCGAACTCAGGGTTCAATCCTAGGACTTTGAGATCATGACCTGAGCTGAAGACAGATGCTTAATTGACTGATCCACCCAGGTGCCCCTTGTTTTTGTTTTTTAAAGATTTTGTTTATTTATTTTAGAGAAGAGAGCAAGAGAGAGTAGGCAAGCGGGGAAGGGAGCAGAAGGAGAGGGAGAGAGAATTTCAGTGAGACTCTGTGCTGAGAATGGAGCCCAGTGAGAGGTTTGATCTCATGACCCTTAGATTATGACCTGAGCCAAAACCAAGAGTTGGAGGCTTGACTGATGGAGGCACCCAGGCAACCTAAGAGCTTAGTTGTTTTTAATGACAATAATTTAATATATGGCCCATAATCCTAAAACTTATAAGGCAATAAAATTGTGGCAAAATTAGGTTACAGAAAATCCGTTGTGCATTCTATTCAGCATAATTCTACAAATCTGAACTGTAATAATTTTAGAAGCATGTAGGAGTGTAGAAGCTGTGGAAATAAATTTTCTCTTATAATAAGTTTACTAGATATTTAAAAAATACTACAAAGAAAATCATTTTAAGATTTATCTTCAGTGTCTAGAAAAAGTAACTTAAGAATCAAAAAAAAGTAGTTATAAGGATAAAAATAAAAATGTGAAGTTTTCACAAATGTTTGCTTTTAATTTTTCCCAAGTAGACTCACTTATGTAGTAATGAAAGTTTTTTCAGTTTTAAAGCTTACCTATATAATTCAAAATACACCACTGAAGCCTGTCTCAAAAAAGGAAGACTAGGGGCACCTGGGTGGCTCTGTGGGTTAAGCCTCTGCCCTTGCCTGGGATCAAGCCCCGCATCGGGTCTCTGCTCAGCGGGGACCTGCTTGCCACACCCCCTCACCTGCCTGCCTCTCTGCCTACTTGTGATCTCTCTCACTCTGTCAAATAAATAAAATC